TACGTATAATAATTTACTCAGCCACAAAGTGTTGTCATTTGTTTATATGTATGTATTCTTAAATTTTTTGCCGTTACGGCTCGTAATCGCATAACGAACGGTTACTGGCATAATAAATCCCAGAACAGGTTGAGTTCATTAAAAAAAAAAAACCAAAACGTTGAAAAGAGAAGAGAAGAAAATGTTCATACTAAAATAAAGTCATATGTACAAGCAACAGCAAGCAAACCATTAATTAAAACATAAATTTTATTTAAGCATATTTTCCATTTAAAAATATTATTGGCTATAATTTGGAAGCACCTTTATGGGCTAATTTGGCGTTGATGCTTTGGCTCTTAGCTTTCCGCCTTCTTCTATATTATATGTAGTAAGAATAAAATAAGATATAAGCTCATTTATGTACAAATATGTATGTTTGTATGTACAAATATTTTGCCAAATAGGAGCTACAACTTCCGTATTTTGGCGTACAAACAGTCAAAAGCAATGCGTACAGAAAATTGGCGCCTAACTAAAATTTCATGCCAAAAATTATTGTCGTATAAATAAGCGCGGGTGTGATTAAATGTAAATAATCAAACTTTGACGTTGGTGGTGTAAACATATCGGAAAATTTGTCGAAATGGTGAGAAAAGTGAAATTTAAATAGAAATAAAATTTATAAAATAAAACCAGCGATTTTTGCTTAAGCAAAAAAAAAAAAACGACTTCAATGCTCATATAAAAATTTTGGGATACCGTTAATTTCTTCAAGATTCAGTGATCTGAAATAAAGCAAATTATAACGGGAGCACCCTTAACGTACCGCCTTTCCGATAAATAAAAAAAAAATTATAGAAAAGGGTTCCACTGAATTGATAAGCTTCCACCTTTTTTTGAAGTCAGTTAATAACAACTTAGAATATTCTTTACAAGCATAAAGAGCAGATTGTGTCATTAAAGTGATAAATACTAAACTTTCACTTGGAAATGGTGCTATAAAATTTATCAAAAAATTAATAATCAATTTTATTTCACAGAACTTTTTCATCGCCTCATTTTCCGCCCTGCTGGTTTGTGCCGCTGCAGACGTCTCTCATCTCGGTGGCGGCTACAATTATCCAGCGCCTGTCCATGAAGCTGTGCGCCCGCAACCAATACTACCACAAAATACCTACATTGCGCCTGCAGCACCAGCACTGGCGCCATCTCACGGCTACAGCTATCCGGCGCCAGCTCTAGTTCATGAGGCTATTAAATCACAGCCAATCATTCCACACCCACCTCCAGCGCCGTCTCACGGTTACAGCTACCCCGCACCAGTATCTCAAGGCTACAGCTATCCAGCGCCAGCTCCACCAGTTCATCAAGCTGTGATATCTCAGCCAATTTCACCGCAAAGCACTTACATTCCACCACCACCGGCAGTACCAGCGCCATCAAGGGGTTACAGTTACCCAGCACCAGTTCGGCAAGCAATTCAATCCCAGCCCATTTCACCAGCGCCATCTCAAGGCTACAGCTATCCAGCTCCAGTTTTTGAAGCTGTCAAATCGCAACCAATTGCACCATCTCGGGGTTACAGCTACCCAGCACCAGTTTCTCAAGGCTACAGCTATCCAGCCCCAGCTTCAGTTCACGAGGCTGTGAAATCCCAGCCAATCATTCCACAAAACACTTACATCCCACCTGCACCGCCAGCGCCAGCGCCATCTCAGGGCTACAGCTATCCAGCGCCATCTCAAGGCTACAGCTATCCAGCGCCAGTTCACCAAGAAGTGAAATCGGAACCGATTATACCCTCATCTTCTCTAGAACAGGATGGCTACCATTATAAGACCGTTCGTCGCGTTGTTTATAGACGTCGTTTACGAGTTTAAATCGAGTATTTTCTATTTTAATGTTGTTGACTGATTTTGTTTTTAAAGTCCCAATGGAAATAAGTACATAAATAAATGTTAAACTATATGATATTCTGAGAGATTTTTTTTTGTAGTTTTGAAAAATTGAAAGTCCAGGAGTCCTTAAAACACCAGGTTTACCATATACAGAAATCCAGAGGAGAAAAAAAATTAATAATTAAAAGCAAAAATAACAATACAACCTCTAAACAGTTTTTTTAAGCCATACTTCTTTGCTCTTTGCACAAACAGACAAGTTCACTGATCTTGGGTCAATCAATGCCAATCAAACCGCCTTTTTTCAGGAAGGATTTTTATTATATTATCCTCAGTGTCGGCGACGAAGTTTATAAATTATTTTTCGAGCAATGAAGTAGTTATTTATGGAAAGAGGCATTTAGCCCTTTTCAAAAAACAGTAACCCCATTGCACACCCACAGGATAAGCCCTTTAATTTGACACCCAATTTTTGAACGAACGAAACAGATCTGATAACGAAGTGTTAAATATTAACATCTCCAAACTCGATTAAGAAGTTTCAATTCAGAAACAGCAGGAAAAATTCGCGAGCAGAGAAGCTGGACTGCTATTATCTCGACGTCAGCTGGTAAGATAATTGCCTAGATTTGCTGTTGAGTGGGTTTTAAACCCACACCGATACTCTCGTGGCCAGAAGAAAATGCCAACCTTGTATTCCAACAATATTGATAAACATGCGAATCGGCGTCAACTCCTCAAGGGACCTTATTCCAGTAGATTGTCGGTCATTCAATTGTTTGTCTAAGCAAAACGCTCGGTTGAACTTGGTAGCCCAGGACTAAACTAGCAACTTGGGGATCTGATTAGAGCTTACCCAATACCAATAGAAAAAACTAATTAGTTTCGCTGAGTTCCGACTTGAAATTTATAAAAACTAATTCTGTGAAGTGTTGGCTTTAAAAAAAAGAGCACACTAAGGCCTCCATGGGCACATTGTGATGCCATATTAGAGACTTCTAGCGTCGCTCCTCCTACCTCAGAAATAGAAACAATTTGTGGCTCTGATGAAGCGAGCCCTTGCCAAAGCGGGGCAGTGGCATAGGTAAAGCTCCACGCTTTCGATTTCCTCCTCATCGCGGCAGCTACGACAGTAATCGTTTGGCTAAAAATCCATCCTGGCAGCGTGGGTTCTGATAACGCAGTGCCCGTTGAGAATTCCAATAACATGGTCGCTCCAAAAGGAAGAGAGGGCGTGATCTACGGTTATCTAACCTAGGCCAGACGTGTCTCGCTATCTTGCACGTGGGCCCCGCACACCATCTTCCATTTGCCCGTTCGATAAAGTTATTCTGCAGCCAGAGTTTACAAGAATATAGCGGAGTACCCGCATTAGCGGTACTGATTGCAGACATCTCGTCCGCAGCACATTTGCCCGGTATGTGCCTATGACCTGGCACCCATACAACTTGAGTAGAGTAACTCCTTGCAAGTTAATTTAGAGAACGTCTACATTCCATGACAATCTACGATGTAGATTTGTCAAAATTACGTGCTGCCTGGCTATCAGAAAATATAGTTACTGCATGCAGTAGCCATTTCAAATCCATCTAGGAAGATCGAAATCGAAATTACAGTAGACCATATTTTCCCCAACCCATCGCACCTGAAAAGAAACCGCACATGATAATCGGTATAATTACACATCCCCACAGAAAAACAAATTGTCAGGATCAGGGAACGAGACACACTATGCATGTATTCCTATGTAGTTTGAGGCACAGACTATCTCAATCCGGCATTAGAATCGGTCCAAACGTGCCTTAGTTCAGCANATACTATCTCAATCCGGCATTAGAATCGGTCCAAACGTGCCTTAGTTCAGCAGATGTTACGCGACGGGCAGGTTTTTGTTTGGCCAAGGAAAAAAATCCTGGCGTGATGACGGACTTCAGATTCGTGTTCAGCGTATCAAAATACATAAGAAAGAGAGAGTATTATTCCCGAAAACCGGCACTTTTTTGTGTATTTGTGTAACAGCTGATGAGTTTTTTACAACAACAACTGCCTAGCCTTCTCTCGACATTCGGCTTCTAGTTCGTTCCGAAGACTATTGTGAGCACCGGGATTGAATTGCAGGCGTTTTGGTTCTCTGATTATACTCTTTGAACATTTTCGTTTATAATGCTCGATAATTTTATGCTGTACTAGTGCTGTTCTTGAAGGTTCAAGAAATATTACACTGATTGGAAAAAGACTATTGGAAAGGATCTTTTTATATGTAGAACTGCTTTACTAAAGAACGTTATTCAAAATAAAAATATTAAATATTTTTTTCCTTTTCTTGAGCGCTCAAAATTCNCGGAGAAATACTATTGGAAAGTATAGTTTTATATGTAGAACGGAGCGAACTGCTTTACTAAAAAACGTTATTCAAAATAAAAATAAAAATATTAAATATTTTTTTCCTTTTCTTGAGCGCTCAAAATTCCAGGAAAAAGGGGATAGTTTAGGGTCTTTAGGCACAATTTTAAGTATTCCGTTTCGTCCCGAGGATTTGGTCGGTCAGCCGCTGGAGATTGTTTTTTTTTTTTAGTAAAAGCCTCAAACCAACCTGATTTAATTTAATTCCAACTCACTTTACGAACACGATGAACTCTGAAAAGCCCGCTATCGTCGTTGCTGGTGGCAGTCATTTGAGACGATNCCTTTTCTTGAGCGCTCAAAATTCCAGGAAAAAGGGGATAGTTTAGGGTCTTTAGGCACAATTTTAAGTATTCCGTTTCGTCCCGAGGATTTGGTCGGTCAGCCGCTGGAGATTGTTTTTTTTTTTTAGTAAAAGCCTCAAACCAACCTGATTTAATTTAATTCCAACTCACTTTACGAACACGATGAACTCTGAAAAGCCCGCTATCGTCGTTGCTGGTGGCAGTCATTTGAGACGATTTCAGGCAAAAGCAATCCACAAAAACTCAAACTCTTATAAATTCAATAAATTGTATTTAACTTCAAAACAAATTCAGGTACACTTACACAAAAGAAAGGGAATTCACAGCACTTTTAACTTAGAAACGATACCTGAAAACCACACGACGAGGATTCTTGTAGTGATATCCATCTTCTTCAAGAGTAGCAGATGGCTCGGGAGCAGGAGCTGGGGCTGGAGCCGGTGCTGGCGCTGGCGCTGGCTCTGGTGCTGGCGCTGGCGGAGCTGGCGGGATGTAGGTGTTTTTAGGTGCCGCTGGTGGCGGTGGTGGCGGAGGAGGTGCTATGGGATGAGAGTGTACGGCCTCATGCACCGGAGCTAGTGGTGCTGGAGGAGCTGGTGGGATGTAAGTGTTTTTAGGTGCCGCTGGTGGCGGTGGTGGTGGAGGAGGAGCAATTGGCTCTGAGCGAACGACTTCATGTACAGGAGCTGCTGGTGCTGGAGGAGCTGGTGGTATGTAAGTGTTCTTAGGTGCTGGTGGTGGTGGTGGTGGTGGAGGAGGAGCTATAGGGTGAGAGTGTACGGCCTCATGCACAGGAGCTG